GGATTCGATCCCAAGTCTTCTGCAAGGACAGCCAGTATTCTTAAATTTTGAGCCCCCAACTTAAAACATTTTTATTTATCTTTTTTTATTTTATGTGTATGAGTGTTTTGCCTACATGCATAAATGTATACCACATGTGTGCAATGCCTGTGGAGTTCAGAGGAGGGCACCATATCCCTTAGAACTGGAGCTCCTCATAGCTGTTAGCCACTATGTGAGTTCTGTGAGTTGAACCCACGTCCTCTGTAAGAATAGTCAGTGCTCTTAACCACTGAGCTATCTCTCCAGCCCCTCCATTGACTTTGTGTTAGTTTATTTTCTGCTGTTATGACAGAACATCAGAAGCTGAGTAAATTGTAAAGAATAGGAGCTCATGATTCTCGAGGCTGGAAAGTCCAAGACTGAGTTGCAGCAATGGTAGTGGCCTCTATTAATTGGAGTTTTTTTTAAAAAATTATTTAATTTTATGTGTATGTGTGTATTGCCTGCATGTAGGTAAGTACACCCGTGTTGTACAATGCCTGCGGAGGTCAGAAGAGGCTGTCAGATTTTCTGGGACTGGAGTTAACAGTTGTTAGCTGCCATGTGGGTGCTGAGATTCAAACCCGAGTCTTCTGCAAGAACAACCAGTGTTCTTAACTGCTGGGCCATCTCTCCAGCCCCAAATCAGGGTTTTTAAAGACAGACTGAAGCAATAGGCTGTAAGAGAGGGGATTTATTATGTGAACTGGCTGACATGATCACACAGGGTGAGGAATTCCACAGTAGGCTGTCTGCAAACTGGAGAAGCAGATAAATAATTGGCATGCCTGGGCCCAGGGTGAGCCTCAGGGTCAGGGGAAGCTGGTAGTACAGCCTCCAATCTGAGTCAAAAGTCTGGCTGCAGGGCTGGAGAGATGGCTCAGTGCTTAAGAACAGACTGTTCTTGTAGAAGACCCAGGTTTGAATCCCAGCACCCACATGGCAGCTAACAACGGTGTGTAACTCCAGTTCCAGGGAATCTGACAACCTCTTCTGTCTTCCGCGGGCATTGCACGACACAGGTGCACTTTCTTACATGCAGGAAATACATGCATACACATAAAATAAAAATAAATGAAATATTAAAAAAAAAAGTCTGGTTGCTATACCATCTAGAGTCTTAAGGTCAGAGTAACCTGGCATTCTGGTGTCCAAGAGCAGGAAGTAAAGGGACTTTGCTCCAGGAGGGAGAGGAGAGGGTTGAGGAGAGAAGAGACAATGAGTTTCCTTACTTCTGTCCATCATGAGCCATAGCAGACTGGACCCCTTGAGGATGGACCTTCACTCAATTACTGACCTACACACCCTTCAACTCTGGAAGCATTGTCACAGACACTCTCATAAACAATGATTTGCCAGCCATCTACGCATCCCTCCAATCCTAGTGAGTTGATAAAGGCACTTGCATTCATGAGGTCAATGTTGCTTGCATTAGCCAAAGACCTCTTAAAGGTCCCATCACTTGGGGTTGGAGGTATGGCTTGGTCAGTAAAGTGCATGGTAATGTGCTTGCTGAACAATCATGAAGACCTGAATTCAGACCCCTAGCACTCACATAAAATGCCTACAATCCCAATACTGAGGAGGCAGAGACAAGTGGATTCCTGGAGCTCCCCAGCCAGCCAGCCTAACTGAATCAATCAGTGAACTCCAGATCTCCAGTGAGAGAGATCTTATCTCAGAAAACATGAGGAGTGCAACTGAGGAGACCTGCTGCTGGCTTCCACATATACATATACTCATGTGCATACATGCACATGAACATATCAGCACACAAACATCACACACACACACACACTATCCCACATCTTAATGCAATTACAATGGCAATTATATTTCAATATGAGGTTTGAAGGGCACATTCAAACAATAGCAATCTATTTCATCTGGCAGGTTAAATAAAAATTAAAAAATGAAACATGTGGGGCTAGTGATGTGGTTTGATGGCTCAAGGTGCTTGTCACCAGGCCTGATGACATGAGTTTCATCCCTGGGATCGACATAATGAAAGGAGAAAGTCCACTTCTCCTTTGATCTCCACCATGCTCAGTGGTACATGCATGCACAAATAATTAAATGTAACAAAATTAAAAAAATATTTTTCTTGAGCCAGGCATGGTGGCACACGCCTTGAATCCCAGCACTCAGGAGGCAGAGGCAGGCAGATCTCTGTGAGTTCAAGGCTAGCCTGGTCTACATAGCAAGTTCCAGGCCAGCTGGGGCTACAAGGAGACTCTGTCTCAAAAAGATCAAAAAAGAAACTTTTTCTTTCTATCTGACCCCTTTAGATTTAGAAAATCTTATTGAGTATTCCTATTTTCATGGTAAGAGTTATTTGCAAAAGTTCAGTAATATTTGCTCTCTGCATAACAAGATCAAGCAGGAAATGTTGGTTATATCACTCAAACCTCATTATTTGTGAGTTATGCACGGGAACAAATATGACCTGACAGTTTTAAGGGAGTAGGGTTAACTTTATGAAGTCAATAAATCATCTTAAAGAAAAACTGGTCTACTGAGACTGGGTCTCACTACATACCCCTGGTTGGCTTGAAACCTGCTATGTAGACCAGGCTGGCCTCAAACTCAGTTAACTCCACCTGCTTCTGCTTCCCAAATACTGGGATTAAAGGCATGTGCCACATGCCCCATTTCCTTTTACATCTTGTTTGATCAAGCTTGGTGCAATTCTTCCAGGAAAAAAGGTCTATGCTTATGGATCTCTCTTCCGGATAGTGACATGTCAGAGGTCAAGTATAGTCATGCTTCATTGTTTTCTTTTCTCTTTTTGGGGCTGAGGATTTAAAAATGGAACTTTGCACATGCTACACAAGTGCTCTACCATTGAGCTACATCCTTTACCCAAATCTCAAGTTAAAAAAAAATATTCTGTAGCACCTTGAGTACCTCCGAGTGAGTTAGGACTCTCTTCTGAGAACGGTCATGAACAGAAGATAATTGGCTGTATTTCTTTTTAATTAGAGGAAGGAGATTAAACTGGTATGATCCATCAATGCTTAGACGCTTTCACAAAGCTTTGAGAACACATAGCTAGCCTTTACCATCTGCAGTGCAAATATTCTGCAATGAGGAAACAGCTCCCATCTCTGTTTGCTCAGCTTCCTCCTCAAATACTTACATCTTCATAATAGGCCTGCCCGTCTTTTTTGGGGGGGGTCTTTTTGAGACAGTGTCTCCCTGTAGCCCCAGCTGGCCTGGCCTGGATTTGCTATGGAGACCAGGCTGGCCTTGAACTCACAGAGTTCTGCCTGCCTCTGCCCTCCTAGTGGGGGAACTAAAGGTGTGCACCATGCCAGGCTCTTCCTTCCTTCCATTCCCTCCCTTCCTCTGTCTCTGTCCCTTCCTTTTTTTTTTTTGGAGACAGGTCTTACTATATAGCCCTGGCTGGCCTAACTCTATGTAAACCAGGTTGACCTGGACCTCATGGAGATCGTCCTGCCCCTGTCTCCCAAATGCAGGAATTTAAAGAATGCACCACCATGTCAGGAACATTTTTATCTAAAGAGACCTTATGTATAAAATTAAAAAAAATATTACCTCTATCTTATTATTACTATTACTGTCACTGGAGCTATGTCCAGCAGTGCTGGGATTAAAGGTGTGTACCACCATGCCTGGTGCACAATAGCATTTTTATAAAAACTCCTAAGTTGTTCCTAAGTAGGGCAGCTTGCCAACTTCTAAATATAGATAGGAAGTTATGACAATCAGTTGATAAAGCATTTTCAAGTTATATTTCATATGGGCAAGTCTGACAAAACTACTTAGGAGTAACAGATTTTTAGATTAGCACCTCTTATTTTTTTTTTCCTTTGGTCTTTCTGAGACAGGGTCCCCTTGCAGCCCCAGCTGGCCTAGAACTCACTATGTAGACCAGGCAAGCCTTGAACTCAGAGATCTGCCTGCCTCCACCTCCCAAGTGCTGGGACTACAGGCGTGCACCACCATGCCCGGCAACACCTCTTAAAAATACTTAATCTGAGCCGGGCGTGGTGGCTCATGTGTTTAATCCCAGCACTCGGGAGGCAGAGGCAGGCGGATCTCTGTGAGTTTGAGGCCACCCTGGTCTCCATAGCGAATCCAGGTCAGATAGGGCTACAGGGAGACCCTGTCTCAAAAAGCCCCCCCCCCAAAAAACCTTAATTTGTAGTAAAGAAACAAAGCAACGGTCATGCTTCCTGTGCCTGCTTGACGATGTAGAGCCAGCTTCTGCTCCTCCTCCAGCCACCTGTGCCACCACACCTCCCTGCCACGTGACTCTCGCCCCTTTGGAATCATAAGCTCAAATAAATTCTTCCTTCTATAAAAAAATAAATGAAGCAACACTAATTATGCCAAAACCTAAATGGATTGGCTTTGGTTGTTAGATGCTATCCTTCAGGTGTACTTTGTTCAATAATAAAATTAAAAGTGAAAAATGTCTTTTGCTACTTCAGGAACCATGTGTTCACATTATATCCATTTGTCACTGTATTTGACTTTGAAAAGTTGGTGAAATGTAAATAAAAATTCATGTTAATTAAGATATACCAAAGGAGTATACTTGTAGACCCGTTTACACATTGAAAGCATACATCACTCACTGGGTGTGGTGGCACACACCTTTAACCCCAGCACTTGGGAGGCAGAAGCGAGTGGATCTCTGTGAGTTTGAGGCTAGCCTGGTCTACATACCAAGTTCCAGGCCAGCTGGGGCTACAGGGAAACCATCTGAAAAAAGAGTGGGAAGTGATTGCCTAGTGAGATTCGCAAAAAAAAAAAAAAAAAAGAAAAGAAAAGAAAAAGAAAACATACCTCATTCCTCATTTTGACATGGCTAATTTAATAAATTTCCAAACAACCCCAACCCTTTTTCCTCTTCCTGCCCTGTCACACACACTGCAGAAAAGTCAGCACCTGAAAGAAGCATGCAACGAACACGGAACATCAACTGGTAAACGGAATGAAAGAAAATGGAGTTCTTTAGAAAAGATTTTTATTTTTGACACACAGACATATAAGTGACATTTGCCCACTAGATAGAGCAGTTTAAGACGTAATTAGAAATGAATTACCATTCACATGTGACAATATTCATAGACAGGTCTCGTGTTTCCTCAATTACCTTTGAAAACTGACTAAAATATCACAGCATACTGGCTAAACTGGTAAGTCTATTTTTCATTTAGAAGAGTAAGATTGAGTTGGAGAAGTGAAAAACCAAGGCACAGACCATTTCAGAAACGTGAAATAATAAAAACACCTTATCTAGCATCACATGGGCAATTTTCCTTCCAAAGTTTAAAACCATTACTGTTAATTTCTGTGGACGAGATAATGTATCACATGAGACTTTCAAAGAGAACATATAAAATATGGTACTGTTCTTTCTTTAACATGCCTCATTAGGAATACCATATCCCAAAGATGTACTGAGATGGGTAGTAGGCCTACCCATATTAGAAAAGCTAATATGGCTATATATATTTTTGGGGGTTTTTGTTTTGTTTTGTTTGAGACAGAGTCTCCCTGTAGCCACAGCTGGCCTGGAACTTGCTGTATAGACCAGGTTGGCCTTGATCTCACAGAAATTTGCCTGCCTCTGCCTTCCTGAGTGCTGGACTTAAAGGCTATATTTTAAATCCTTCCTTTTTCTTTTCTTCCTTTCTTCATGGTTTTGGGGAACAGAACTCAGGGCCTTAACACATGCTAGGTAAGCACTCTACCACTAAGCTTCATGTATAGGGTTCTTCCCCCCACACTGGAAAGTTCTCATAAATATGCCCAATAATTTCTATTTTGAAAATGTAAACTATCTCATAATAGAAAACTGGAACAACTCAAGATTAATCTTACAAATTGTTTTTAGGAAATAAATTTCCTAATGCCTTGTTTTATATATCAAATTTGTGTTTAGCACAAGTAAGTTGACTATATTGTCTTTATTAATTACATTGAAACCTAATAATTTATCAGTGAAAAAAATAAAGCACATTGAACATCTGTGTTCCATTTATGAACATATATTGTAAGTGGAAGCTTACATCATCCCATGTTCATGAATACTTATTAAATATGCATTGACTACATTATGCAAGGTATTAAGAATTCTATATTAGGATAGTAATGAAGTTTAGTCTATTCTAAAGATAATATATGCAGGATTTAAAGATACTTTTCCATTTTTCACATTTGTACAAGTAGAAGATGGCTCAGGTTTTTAAATTCTGCATTTCTATGCACTTGAAGAATACTTTCTGAACTCAACAGTAAAACATTCTATTGGTAATGCTCACTTTTCTGATTCAAATCAAAAGCTATCTTTTTACATTAAGAAAAGAAAGGGCAGGGGATGAACACAGTTGGCAGAGTGCTTGTCTAGCATGCCCAAAACCCTGGATGGGATCCCCAGTATCACATAAACTGAGTGCGGTGGTACATATGAGACTCTAAAAAAAGTCAAAAAAAGAAAAAAAAGAAAGAAATAGAAAAATCAATCCTTTTATTTTTACTTAATTGGCCACAATATGAATGAGATTTCTAAAATGAATTCAGTTCATTCATATAAGGCCTTTACACTGTATTATGCCTTGCATTCAATAATGTCAAGTGGCTGCATAGTTATTAACTGTCTATGGAGCAACTATAAGTCATAGAGTGTTTCAAGAACAGTAGCTATTGACCATGCTTGTGTCTCACAGCTGAAAGGACAGTACTGGCCATTCTCATTTGTCAGTTCTGGAAGTCCCTTCCACGGGGATCTGAAAAAATGAAGAACACTTCATGAGACATAATTTCAAAATAGGCAAGACTAGTGATTTTTGCCTTATCCTAGAGAAAGTAATCATTCACAGGTATTTGCTAAAAAATAGAACAGAATATTTTAAAGTTGTATTGTCTATATAAAGAATTTAGAATGAAATTATCCTTTGAAATATTCTATTTTGTGATTTAATACTTTTAAATACAAAGGAATCTTTTCATTATTATTATTATTGTTATTATTTTTCTACTTTTGTGATAAGGTCTTGCTATGTAACTCCAGATGGTTTAAAACTTGCTATAAGGCTGGCTTTCAACTTATATGCCTAGCTTCCTTCATTACTAAAACTATAGAAAAAGGCTATCATTCTAAATAATTTGTAAACACAGAGAGAAATATCCTCTCAGGCATAATTTCAGGGTTTTTTTTTTTGTTTTTTTTTTGACACGGGGTCTCCCTGTAGCTCCAGCTGTCCTGAAACTCACTATGTAGAACAGGCTGGCCTTGAACTCACACAGATCTGCTTGCCTCTGCCTCCCAAGTGCTGGAATTAAAGGCATGCACCACCACACCTGGCTTTTTTTTTTGTCTTTTGAGAGAGGGTCTCATTATGTAGCTTGGGCTGGAGTAGAACTCATGATCTTCCTGTTTCTATCTCCCACGTGCTGGGATTACAAGAAGATGTGATGCCACCAGGTCTGGCAATAGTTTTGGTCTTAGAGTTTAGTTTATGGCTCAGATTGTAAATATGTAAGTGTATTATGCATGAACTTGATAGAACTAGAAAACTAAAAAAATAATACAGAGACACTAAGAAGTGTAATTAGGAAAATGCTGATTAATTTCTTATTCTGTAGAATAACAAACTGATTTACCATATACTTGTATTCTAACACTTAGTACTTTATCTTATGTAATGCCTCCAGCAATCTTGTGAGATAGGTACCATAATTACTCTTTCATATAAAGGATGAAGGATTTATGGAAGTTAAATAACTTGTGCCAGATCTCATTGTCAGAACACAGTACTATCAGTGTATCTGACTGATGTTCCTGTAAGAAAGTAGATATAATTTATGCCATTTATACATAATTAGTCTAAGCAGTAAGATGCAGATGCACTTAGGCATACTCTAGAATTCAAGGAATTAAGACAAACTTTGGCTGAATTTCTATCACCTTAGGAAATATGTAACACTGACATGTTTTAATTTACTCATCATTGGGACAAATGTTATAAAAAATACTGTTTGAAATAACAATCAAAAGACCAACTGATATTTTAAATATAATCAAAATGCTCTGAAAATTATTTCTTGATAAGTCAATCAACTTAAAGGCCCAAAGGAATGCTTTAAGTGTTTGTATTTATTCTAATCTAACTATATCCAAAAATATGTTTTTTTTTAGTTAAAGACTATTCCACATGTACAAAGCATAAAATACCAGATCTTTCACTTAAATTAAAACCTAAAATAATTAAGGGAAGGTAAAAATTACATGCTAGAAGCTATGTTGAAGAGCAAAGGGCTCAGGTTTTATTGGGATAAACAGAGCATACAGAAATGAAGTCTAAGGAAAGCTTACTTCCCTAATACTTGCCCACTGACTAGACATGAGGCACAGAAATGACAAGTCCATGACAACTTACCTCTCAAGATGAACATAATGTCGGGAAAGGACATTTTTAACCAAAAATATAGTCTTTGCAGCAATCTCTGGGCCCATCAATTTGGAAAAATATAACTTTGCACGAAGAAAATACCCAATAGGCCATAACCACTCCTAAAATACGATTCAAAAAGAAGAACTGTGAATAGCTAAATTTATGTCAAAAATAATTTAAACTGAAAACTCTGAGAAAAGAAATGGAATTCTTACGGGTCCTTGGTGATAATTGAAACCTTTAGCAAGATTGTAGTTGTCATTGTCCAAGGCATTGTCATAAACTCCGCAGTAAACCATATCACTGCAGTGATTGGGATAGAGATAAGTAAAGATCAACCACACAGAAGACTCAGAGCAACATCAACTGAAAGGTCAGAAGAACATGCAAATCATTTTCCCTCCAATCTACAGAATTAGTACATCACTTGACATTAAATTAGTATATACTGTGGGGACAGTGGTGCACACATCTAATGGAGCACTCAGGAGGCAGAGGCAGGTGGATCTCTGTGAGATGGAGGTCAGCCTCGTCTACATAACGAGTTCCAGGCCAGTTGGGGCTACAGGGAGACCCTGTCTCAACAAAGAAACAAACAAAACAAAACAAAATTAGTATATACTGAGTTCAGAGGACTTTTAATTTATATGTGTATGTGGCGGGGTGGGTATGGCTATGTCTTGGTACTAGAGGGCAGACCACGTGGCGAGTATCGGGGAGGATCATCACAGACTATATTTGAAATGAGAGCAGAACAAGGGCTTTGTGGGGAGGAAGGCTACTAGGTGGGAGTTGGGGAATGGGGGAGGAGGATTAACAGAAATAACATATGCATGAAAGTGCCATGATTAAATCATTATTTTGTATACTAATTTAAAGAATTAATAAGTATTAAAGTATCTTCAAGGAGGCAGTGTGACACTACCAAGTACTGTACAGCTTAAAGTCAACCATTTCACTAGCTTTTAATGTATGTATAATAATTGTTCTTTCAGTTACTTGAATCAGTAAAAATTAAAGATGAAGATGCAGTTTTGATTATAGAGCAGAAAAGTATTTATCTATTTATTATTTTTTTGTGGTGCTAGGGATCAAACTACATATTTTAGGCAAGCATGCTACCCCTTAGCTACATTCTTAGCCCATGCAAAGTGCATTTATATACATGTAGGCAAAACACTTACACATGTAAAATAAAAATAAAAAATTTAAGCCGGGCATGGTGGTGCACGCCTTTAATCCCAGCACTTAGGAGGCAGAGGCAGGTGGAGATCTGTGAGTTCAAGTCCAGCCTGGTCTACATAGTGAGTTCCAGGACAGCTGGGGCTACGGGGAGACCCAATAAATAAATAAATAAATAAATAAATAAATAAATAAATAAATAAATACAACAATTGAATATGCATATTGCTGTAATACATAATTTATTTTTTATTTATGTGTATGAGTGTATTTTCTGCATGCACCTGTGTTGTACAATGCCTGTGGAAGTCAGAAGAGGGCTTCAGATCCCCTAGAACTGGAGTTACATAGGGTTTTTAGTCATCATGTGGGTGTTGGGAATGGAAACCAGGTCCTCTGCTAGAGCAGCCAGTGTTCTTAACCTCTCTCCAGCCCTACATACAAAATTTCATATCTCAAGAATAAAATCAAGCCAGGTGTGGTGGTGTTTGTATGCAATTCTGCCATCTGTAGCCCTGGCTGGCCTGGAACTCATTAGAAAACCTGCAAAGGTAAGGATCTGTTATCTATTAACATAGGAAATAAGTTCACAATAAAGATCAAGCTTCAAAGGAGAGTGGAAGGAAAACAGAAAGATAATTAGAAATATGAAAAAAAAAAAGAAATATGGCACAAACCAATTTGTAACATAAAAACAAAATTCTTTATGTAAAAAGAGTTATGTAATTACATAGAAAGGATGGAGAGGATTGGTGGTGACATAGCAACATTTGCCATCACTACAAGTAAAGAAATAATGCTTAATACTTAAAGTATCATAAACAGAGCTGGAGAGATGGCTCAGCAGCTAAAAGCACTGGCTTGCTCTTCCAAAGGACTGGGGTTAAGGTCCCCCCGAACCATCCCTAACTCCAGTTCCAGGGGATCTGACACCCTCTTCTGGCCTCCATGGGTACTGAATACATGTGCAAAACACTCATACACATAAAATAAAAATAAAAAAAAATCTGTAAAAACTCTATAAACAGCTGCATATACACGTCATTTAGAAATATGGAAGAAATTGTTAGAAAAAAAGCATACAGACTATCTTTGAGTAGAATTAGGGGTAGGGACATGTAGTAAGTGACTGAAAAAAATTGCTGGGTGTGGTGCTGGAGAATGAACCCAGGGCCTTGTGCATGATGGGTTATTTGTGCTACCACTGAGCTATCTTTTGAAGAGCTTTTATTTTTGTGAGACAGGATATCATGTAGTCTGGCTGGTCTCAAATTTGCTATGTAATGGAGGATGATCTTGAATTCATTATCTTCCTGTCTCAATTTGCCAAGTGCTGGGATTGTGGGCATGTATCACTGTGCCTGGTTTAACAGCCTGTGTGTGTGTGTGTGTATATATATATATATATACCCCCATGGGCATTGCACGGCATATATATGTGTATATACACACACACACACATATATATATATATATGTATGTATGTGTGTTGTTTTGTTTCTCTTTTGAGACAGGGTCTTGAATGCTAGGATTAAATGTGTGAGCCACCAGGCCTGGCTCTGCTTTTGTTTATTAGACAGTGTCTCACTATGTAGCCTTTGCTGGCCTGGAACTAACTATGTAGACCAGGCTGGCCTTGAACTCACAGATAGATATTCACCTGCCTCTGCCTCCGGAGTACTGGGATTAAAGGCATGTGCTATATGCTACCATACCTAGCAAGAGCTATTTAAAAAAGTATTTATTATTGTTGTGATAGGTGAACTCATGGAACTTTTTTGGCACATGCTAGGCAAATGTCTACCAGTGATCTATATCCCCATGAGTTTTTGTTGTTTTTTTGACAGTCTTGCTCCATAGTCCAAGTCAGCCTGGAACTCATGTAGCCCAAGCTGGCCTTGAACATACAGGAGTCTTCCTGTCTCAGCCTCCAAGTGCTGATATTACAAGACTAGGCCACCACATTCAGCTTTGGTTTTTGTTTTTGCTGTTCTGTTTTGTTCTTCAAGACAGGGTGACCATGCCAGGCGTGGTGGCACATGCCTTTAATCCGAGCACTCGGAAGGCAGAAGCAGGCGGATCTCTGTGAGTTCAAGGCTAGCCTGGTCTATATAGTGAGTTCCAGGCCAACTGGGGCTACAGGGAAACCCTTTTTTAAAAAGATTAAAAAAAAAAAAAAAAAAGAGACAGGGTGGCCTTGAACTCTTGATCATCCTACCTAAGATTCCTAGATGGAAGCCACATGCCTGAAAATATGTTCTACAAATTCTCCCAGATATGTGACCATAAAGTCCAAATACATTACAAAATGAATAGAAAAGACTGCATATTTGTCAAGATGGAAGTGATGCTTATTCTTGGATAAAGGGATTTAAAAGTAACTTATTTTTCTTTATATATTATTGTTGCTTTCCAGTGCTCATATTAATCATGTATTACCTTTTTTAAATTTTGAGCCAGGGTCTCTATGTAGTCCTGCTTCTAGCCTAGAACTCACTATGTATACCAGGCTAGCCTGGAACTCAGAGATTCACCTACTTCTGTCTCCTGAGTGCTAGGATTAAAGGCTTGCATCACCCCACCAAGTCCTCATGTATCACTTTTATAGCCAGAAAAAATAAGAAAATATTCACAACATATTAGTTTTATGCACTAAAAGAATTTAAATTAGTGAATATATGGCAAGCCAGGGGCATTTTTAACATTGCAACTCATTAAAGTGACAGATTTTTAAGATGTTATTGATAAACAAAGGCAGAATGGTTAATATCAATCTATGTGGAGTAAATATAATATCAACAATCTTCTTAATACTTATATTTCAACTTACTCTGGATCTAAAGTTTTCATGCCGAGGGGACCGAGCAATTTTTTTTCTGCAATTTCCAAAGCTTTCCATGCTTTTTCAGCAGTAAAGAGCTCAGGGGCCTAATGAAGGTCAAACAAACCAAGAAAAAAATAAGTATTTTAAGATCATAGAAGAATTAATTGTCACTCACACAAACTAATCATAAGGTTTGACAAGAATGGCTGGGCGTGGTGGCACACGTCCTTAATCCCAACACCTAGGAGGCAGAGGCAGGTGGATATTTGTGAGTCCCAGGCCAGCTGGGGCTACAGGGAGCCCTGCTCAAAAACACAATAATTAAAAACAAAAACAAATAATAGTAATAATAATAATAATGATAATAATAATAATAAATGTTGAAAAGAATGAAAGAAATTTAAAAATATGGTTTAGGGCAGAATCTGAGTGGATACCTAACCAAATCTAGTCCTACGAGGCTGAACTGGACACACCTGTCTCAGACTAAGACATCACAGAGGTGACTGTTGCATTTCACTGTAGGAACATGTACCAGATCCAAAAGGGAAGCACCAGAGTTGTAACAGAGGCAGAACTCACGTAAACTCATCTAATTTACTCTTAGATTTACGGGAGTTTCCTTTAAGTTTCCCTCTGTCTTCTGGGGTCATAATAAAATACAGAGGAACTTGCACTCCAACAGCAGAGCAGTTTCTTGTAACACACAGAAGGAAGAGAGAAAAATCATTAGCTTTACTGTGAAATGAAGTGACATGAACTGAACCAAACTACTTCTGTGTATGCTTGCACTTCCAATGCTACTAATTCATAATGTTACCCCTAGTAATCTTGACAGTGACACCCAGGGACGTGTAGACGAACACAATCATTCCCTAGCTCACTGCCCTTAAGAGTTTTCTTAGCTAAATAGAAGGAATTACAGAAAAACACAAGGAATGAACTTAAGCTATCCAAGGGCAGTCTCTAGTTCAGAACTTCCTGGCTAGTACACTGGGGCACTAGTTGTGGAATGCAAATGTCCTCTGTTTCAGGGAAGAGGGTAAGCACTGGGGCTAACTGAAGCAGCTGGATCTGGCCTAAACAGCCTAATCCACTCAGCCCACCTTGTGACACAGATATCAAATATTATATGACAAAACACCAGGAAACATTTTGTCTGTCATCATCCATTAACACCTGTGTTTTGATACTGATTGTTATAAGTTAGAGGTGATATGCATACTTTATTAGTGAGAGAAGACGATATAAACTATCCTGAAAGCAATAACCTTTCACAGTTAAATGAAGCTTGAACACAAGTAGGAAAAAAATAAAAAACCTTAGTAAATCCTATCAAAACATGTTGTAACAATTCAAAAAGGCACATCACCTACCACAACCATTGCTATGGTAAAATTAGGCCTGAGTTGATAGTCACACCAAGGACTTGACGCTCCATAGGTGTCTTTGTATATGCCACGCTTGTGAACTAGATTCGGATGCTTCTCATTAGGGTCTGAAGGGTCTTCAGAAACATGAAACAGCCTTTCAAAGTTGTTTTGTATTCTTCTGTTCCACTCATCGTATGAGATTGGTACAACCTTCCCTGAGGAGTGATAAAAGACATGGCACTGTGGACATCCAAAGCATTTCAAATATCTAGTTATAGTCAAACAGCCCCATTTAGCTTACTTATTTCTATCTACTAGAAGGAAATAAACTGTCTACTTTTTAAAAATGTCTACTTTGGATTGAGATGTGCTATATATTCACTGGACTTCAAAGCCTGAGTACCTCCCCAAGAATGGAAAGTAGCTCAGAAACAGTTTTATATTGATTACATATTGAACACTTTTATTATATTTATTGAGTTAAATAAAATCCTATAAATAATTTCACCTACTTTTTTTCAAATATGAACACTAGAAAATTAAAAATTATGTATATAGTTCAATATTTCCATTGGACAGCAGTTGTTCTAGAAAAAGCTGTAAAAATTTCAAAACCATTCATGGATATGCAACTTGCTCATAAAGTGAGGAAACAGAAAAGGTCAATGAGGCAATAACTACATTGTTTTTCTTATTTTCATTCAAAGTTGCTCTAAGAATGTGTTTAGTAACCAATTTTGTTATAATTTCCATATTGGAAATTAATAATTTTTTTCCTCCTAAAATTTAGGGTTTTCTAGTAGTAGTTGACAGAATCAAATCATGATAAAACAGGTTAAGAACATGGGTAGTGCATTAGAAGTTTCTTTGTAAATAAAAGAGCAGGGGCTGCCAAGATAGCTCAGTGGGTAAAGTGGCTTGCCACAGAATCCTGATGGCCTGAGTTGACATGGGCCAGGAACCCAAGTAAAGGCGGAAGGAGAGAACCCATGCCACAGAGTTGTCCACTGACTTCACATGCATACCATGGAACACACATACCATGGCACACACATACCACCCCACCCCAAGTAATATACACACACAATAATAAAAGAACAGCTTACCATGTCTTTTTACTCTTACTTCATGATAAGGAAAAATATTTTTCTTGGATAATTCCAGCAACCAACGAACAGTAGATTTACATAAGCCTACAATTTCCACAGCAGATCCATCTCTAAAATTAAAAAGAGTTATTTTAAGTTGGATTTATTTAACCACTACTTAAAAAGGCATTCCATAAATAATTTTGAGCTGAGGATGTAGCTTAGTGGTAGAATACTTGCCTAGCAAGCAATAAGAAAGGCTCTGGGTCCCAGTGCCACAAAACAAAACAACAAAAACCACATTTTGATGAATATTATAACTACTGCATTATAAAACAACTATCTGTTCCCAAATCTTTGCTTCATTTTACTTTTTAAAAATAAATGTATTTATTTAATTTTATGTGTATGAGTGTATTACCTGAATATATTTAAGTGCATTCTGTGTGTGCAGTGCCTGAAGAGGTCAGAAGAGGGTGTTGGATCCCCTGGAACTGGAGTTATAGATGGCTGATAGCTGCCATGTGGGTGCTGGTACCTGGACTACAAGAACAGTCAGTGCTCTTAACTAAGCCATATCTCCAGTCCCCAAATCTTCACTTTAAAAGGAATGTGTATTTTATAAAAAAAATCTCTTACTGGGGCTGGATAGATAGCTCAGTGGTTAAGAGTATTGACTGCTCTTGCAGAGGACCTGGGTTTGATTCCCAGCACCCACATGGCAGCTACGAACCGTCCTTAACTCCAATTCCAGGGGAATCCGAAACCTCTTTTGACCTCCACAACATTGCATGACATGGGTGCATTCACATACATGCAGGCAATACACTCATACAAATAAAATATTTTAAAAAATCTGTTTTACCACCATTCATTCATTCATTCGGTCTTTTTGAGACAGGGTCTCCCTGTAGCCCCAGCTGTCCTGGAACTCACTATGTAGACCAGGCTGGCCTTGAACTCACAGAGATCCGCCTGCCTCTGCCTCCCGAGTGCTGGGATTAAAGCTGTGTGCTACCACGCCCGGCTTACCACTGTTTATTTTTAACACATTTAAAATTTTTTCCTGATTTATTTTTATTTTATGTGCATGAGCGTTTTGTCTACATGTGTATAAGTACACCCATCTGATACAATGCCTGTGGAGGCCAGAAGTCTTCAGATCCCCTGGAATTGGAGTTTCAGAGGGTTGTTAGCTGCCATGTGGGTACTGGGATATGATCCTGGGTCCTCTGCAACAGCAGCCAGTGCTGCTGACCACTGAAACAGAAACTACTTTTTATTAATTTGATACAATGCTGGGGAGTGAATTTGACGCCTCAAACATTCTAGGCAAGTGCTCTGCCTCTGAGCTACAGCAGGAGCACAGCAGAAACATTAAACGACTAGTCTTTGGAAAATTCTACTTGAAGATAAAATTTTGGATAAGAAAACAGCTTCTAAGCTGAACTGAGTATTACAAACTTCATACTTGCTGATAGTTTCTAGAATCATAAAAAGAAAAACCCTTAACAAATTCTGGGATTAAAAAAAGAGAAAAAAGGTTCAGAAAATGAAAAAAGAATTTAAAAAGACAGATCAACTAGTTGTTTTCCATGCTTATAAAAGACAGGCATAGGGGCTGGAGAGATTGCTCAGTGATTAAGAGCACTGGCTGCTCATCCAGAGGATCGGGTTCAGTTCCCAGCATTCCAGCATCCACCTGGAGGCTAGCAACTGTGTACAACTCCAGTTCCAGGGGATTCAAAGCCCTCTTCTGGCCTCCATGCTGCACTTACATATACACAGGCAAAACACTCATATGCCTAAAAACAAATGAATTTAAAAAAGGAATATGTGAATCAAAAGGGCATCATTACAGAAATGCTGTAATGCATGCACTACCTTGGAGTGGCTGGGATTCCTCTGTTTCTAGCTCGATCACTTTCTCCCATTTTATCCATCCATGTGCCACAATTGAAGCGATTCCCCCCATAAACAAATCCTGTTTCTTCATCAACCCCTGCAGTTATATTAAAACCTAAAAAAGGAAAATAAAACACTTATAAAGAAGGCATGGTGGCACAGGTCTGTAATCCTAGCACTCAAGAAGCAGAGGCAGGAGGATCACTCACAAGTTTGAACCTGGCCAATGTAATGAGTTTGAAGCCAGGCAGGACTACATAGTGAGACCTTGTATTAAAAATAAACAAATAAATACATAAACAAAAAGGGGCCGGGCGTGGTGGCGCACACCTTTAATCCCAGCACTTGGGAGGCAGAGGGAGGAGGATCTCCATGAGTTCAAGGCCAGCCTGGTCTATATAGTGAGTTCCAGGACAGCTGGGGCTATAGGGAGACCCTGTCTGAAAAAGACCAAATAAAAAAAAAGCCTGGTACAGTGTTACAAGCCTTTATTCCTAAAACTGGGGAGGCAAAGGTAGGCTGATCTCTGAGACTGAGGCCAGCCCGGTCTACACAGTGAGTTCCAGGCCAGCTGTGGTTATACGGAGACCCTGTCTCAAAAACAACAACAACAACAACAACAACAAAACCCAAACCAAAGAAGCTGGGCATGGTGGCACATGCTTTTAATCCCAGCACTTGGGAGGCAGGGGCTGGTGAAGCTCTGAGATACAGGTCAGCCTGGTCTACACAGGGAGTTTCAAGCCCACTGGGCTACAAGGGAGACCTTGTCTCAATGAAAAGAAAGAAAGAAAGAAAGAAAGAAAGAAAGAAAGAAAGAAAGAAAGAAAGAAAGAAAGAAAGAAAGAAAGAAAGAAAGAAAGAAAGAAAGAAAGAAACAGGGATGGAAAGAAAGAAAAAAGAAAGAAAGAAAGAAAGAAAGAAAGAAAGAAAGAAAGAAAGAAAGAAAGAAAGAAAGAAAGAAAAAAGTTAGTTTTGAGATGGCTCAGTGGTTAAGAGCACTTGCTACTCTTCCAGGGGACCCAAGTTAAGTTTCCAGCAACCATATCAGACAGCTCACAACTGCCTCTAAGTCCAACTTCAAGGGATCTGTGCCACACATGGTATTCACTCATACAGAGACATGAATACAAATAAATCTTTCAAAAATATGTATTATAGTGTACAAAAATTAACATTTATAAAAAGGAATAAATTAAGATAATTACCCTGAAGATCAACTTGGTAATAACTTAAAAGCTGAAGATGTGTATATTACATAGTAATTTCACTTCTCTCTACACAAGCTCTTAACTATGTGCACACGGAAATACATATTATGATAGCCATGGTAACAATGCGTACACTGGCAAAAACGTAAATCACCACTCAGTAGAGGACTGGCCCAACATCGTGTATATACTAGGAAATACTATCATTTAAACTGATGAATTAGAGCTATATGGGACAAAATAGATGAATTCTCAAGATAAAAAGATTTAGAAAATAAGTTATAAAAGGATATATAGTAGCCGGGCATGGTGGTGCACGCTTTTAGTGCCAGCACTCAGGAGGCAGAGGCTGGTGGATATCTGAGTTCAAGGACAGCCTGGTCTACATAGTGAGTTCCAGGCCATCTGGGGCTACCAAACAAAACAAAACAAAACAAAAAAAACAAAAAAGGATATATAGTAAGAAAATTTTCTGTAAAAGCTTAAAATACAGATAATATTAACATATACAACTATGCTTGCTTATACTGAAATAGTATTTGTATAGAACTTAAGAACACAATAGTGATATAACATACTAGATATATACGTCATAACATATCACATGCAATTGCATATACTCAAGCATGTATAAAGTATACTGGAAATAGTATACCCTGGTTACAGCAAAGTCATGAGTGCTAGATAAGGAGAGAAAAGAAGAAAGAGATGAAGCTTTGAAGTTCAAAGTAAACAGAAAGTTCAAAGTAAAACAGAAAGATCTAAAGATATTTAATTTCAATGCCAGATTCAAAGGTAAAATTATACTGCTTGCTTTGAGTTGAAATGTTTCATAACTAAAAAAATAGTTTGAGGCTAACCTAGTCTACATAATGAGTTCCAGGTTAGCAGGGCTTCATAGTAAGATCCTAATTTAATTTATATAATATTTTCAAAATGACAAAATTATAAAGAAACAGAATAGATTAGCAGTTGCCAGGGACTAAGGGTGGGTGGAAAGGGTATGGGTGATTATAAAGGGAGACTCTTGGACTGGAAAGACGGCTCAGCAGTTACAAGTGTTTACCACACTTGTAGGGGACCCAGTTTGGTTTCCAGCACCTACACAGAGGCTTACAACTGGTCATAACTCCAGTTCCAGGGGATCCAATACCCCCTTCTGGCCTCTGTGGGTATTGCCTCTGTGGGTATTGCACATATGTGGTACATGAACACTAATACACATAAAAAAAGGGGGCAGGGAGTAACAAAAATCTTTGTGTGTGAGCTTGGCATGGTGGCACATACCTTTAATCCCTCCACAGAGAAGGCAGAGGCAGGCAGATCTCTGGGAGTTGCAGGCCAGCTTGCTCTACATAGTGAGTTTCAGGCCAGCTGGGCTACATAGTGAGACCCCGTCTCAAAAAACAAAAACAAAATCTCTATGGTGATGGGACAGTTCTACATCTTTATTGTGGTAGTGGTTTTGTGAAGCTACAAATGGGCTCAGATTCCAGGCCAGCCAGGGTTACATAGTGAGATCCTGTCTCAACAACAAAAAAGTAAAAATTCTAAGGTATGTATACCCTTCCCCCACAAGTTAATGTAAAAACTGGTGAAAAAAGGTCTATAGTCTAGTTAGCAGTATAATGCTAATGTCAATTTCTTGATTTTCATATTTTACTTCAGTTATGTAATGTAAGACATCTCCACTGGGGAAGTCTAGGAGACAGATTCACTGTGTTCGACGTATCATTTTCATAACTTTTTATAACTCTTTGATTCTCATTATAGTTAAAAATCTCCATGCACACAAGGCAATGCATATTTATAAGACTAATGGTAAATATACAGCAAATTCATCAAAATGATTCTCAAAGTCCAGAGAAATGAGGGAAAAAATGAAATAATTAGCCTTATATTGGCTGGAAATGAGAGTGTGTCTTTGAAATTAAAACAATATATATTGAGCTCTGCTTCCCTGGGCCTGCTCGACGCGCAGGCCTCTCTCTCTCTCTCTCTCTCTCTCTCTCTCTCTCTCTCTCTCGTCAATCACACCCTCTGCGCCTTGATTCCCCCACCCTCTTCATCCTCCCATCTCCTTGCTCGTTTTTCCTCCTAGCCTGGGTCCTGTCCCATTCCTTGTCTTGGCGCCCCAGACATGGGATGGGGGTTGGGGGGGACGACGGACATCGGACGGACGACGACACCACCACCACTGCTTCCTGATCCTTTGCATCCAGACCACCACCACTGCTTCCTGATCCTTTGCATCCAGACCAACTCAGTTCCTTCTCGGGTCCCCAGGAGCACTCTGGGCCTGGACCCGCCCTCACCTCCCTCTGCTTCCCAGGGCCTGCACCACCTGCCAGCCTCTTCCCTGGACACCGGGGCTGACCTTTCCTCTTCCTGATCCTTTACATCCAGACCAACCCAGCTCCTCAGTGCAGAACCCAGGGGCCCTTGGGGCTGCTTCCCACCCCCATTTTCCTTCACATCTCTGAATGGCACGGCCACCAGCTGCCCTAGACCAGAATCTTTACTGGGCCCGGCTTCCAGGCCACTCCAACCCCCAAATTCCTGAGGCCAAAAAATCTTTCCTGGAGGGATCCAGACCTTAGGAGAAAGCCTGAGAGCATCTGATCCTCATCTGACTTGGGCCTCTGTGGGAACTCCTGAAGACAAAAGCAATCTGGCCACTCCAATATAAAATCAAAAGAGAGAACCAGAAGCTTAGAGGAACCAGCTTTTCGTGCCCAAAAAGTAAACCACAAAGACACATAACGTTCACAAAAAGAAGCAGACCTAAACATGAAGGCTTGAGTCTCACACAAGAATCAGGAACTACAG